ATTGGAATGATATTGTTAAATATCTTAATGATACTCCAGAGGATGTTGAGCAAAAACACAAAGGATTTATTCCATTTTTAGCTAAATATGTATTTATGATATCTCATAAGCCTCCGAAGGAAGCTTTTAATTTTCGCCATAACCATATTAATGATGAATCATTTACTCAACGAGATTGGGATCAGTTTTATCATCGTCTTGATTTTATAATCGAGTTTACAGGGAAGTGGAATAATGATATAGACCAACGTACCACTGAGCTTATATTTCATAAGGGTTCAGAGGAAGATTTTTGTAATATGAATTGGGATGTTAAATATCGTAAGGGTGAATTTACTGTTGACGAGCTAAAAACTATAGTTCAAGATTTAAATCAAGAGCAAGATGGTGAGGTGATCATAAAACAGAATCAGGTTTACTGGTATTGTTGTTTTCCCGAGTTTAAGAAGAATTATTTACACGATTATCCTAGATGTCATGAGCTTTCTGACTACAAACAGGAACTTTTACAACAATCGCAATTAGTTTTATCTTCAACTATACTAGGAAAAAGATCTCAAAAACATATATCTAAATCTGAAACTGAATCATATTTCGATGATAATTCCGATTACAGTCATCAACAGTCGATGGCCGAATCTAGCACTACTGTAGCAAAAAGAAAACCTAACAAGCGATTGAAGCGTCAAATTGAAAAAATTATAAACGATTCAAAGCATGAAATTGAAACAATAAATGATAATTTTACATAATATTTAGAAAGGAATGGTTTAAGTTTTACTGAAAGTTAAGAAAATCTAATTTAAACAGAGATAATGATAGATCAAATTGTTTTACTTTAACTCAAAATACTGTTTACTTTAAAATTGTTAAAAATAATTAAGATTTAATATTTAAGGGTTATAAAAATATTGCAAAGGTTTACAATTAGACCATGTAAAATTAATTAATTGGTTTTCATAACCCGGCCAGGTCAAAATTTGAAAACTTCTAAAAAAAATTTTTATATGTTTTAATAACCAGGTGGGTTTTGAAAAAAAATTTTTATAAAATTTTATATATGAAATTTTAAAAAAAAAACTGGCCGGCTGGTCTATTTTTAAATTTTCATATTATGAAAACCAAGTAATTAAATTTGTTTGGTCTAATTTAGAAAGATACTTTTTTTATCTAATTATTCTCTATATATAAGTTGTCTTTAAGTTGACTCTATAAAGTGTATAGTATAAAATTATCAAATAATAAAATTAAATTAATATCCTGAAACCCTATTCATTCTTGTTGCATCATTGAAAATATAATACAATACCATTTTTTTTATAATTTTCTAATATATCACTATCACTAAGTATCAATATGATTTTTAATATTGAAGAAGAAGATATGAATATTAGTGATAGAAGTGATAATGAATTTGATAATGTACTTAATTATATTCTAGATACAACAGATAGCATCGGTTAAGTATGGGAAGCACAAGATAATAATAACACGATGCAGAAAAGATCAGCAGAAGCAGAAAGATCTAAAACATACTATCTTCTAGTTGAAAAATATATAAACTAGATTAAAAATCTTAAGAAATCAGGTTTTAGTTATATTAAGTATGACTATCAAGAGCAAATTGGTTCAAAAAAAAAAAATTAAATGGTCTAAGAGATTGTATTGCTATTAATATGAAATATATAAGAGTACTGCTAAAAAAAATGCTACAAAAAAGTCACACTTAGTACAGAAAAAATTAAAAAAATACAAATATAAAGGTTATATCTATATTGTACTTCCTATCAGTTTAACAATAGTAGTTTTATGTTACTATTATAAATATTTAAACTACTATCTTGGTCAATTATTAGATTTATATATACTTTTTCTTTTAAAAAATATTAGACAATACATTTGGCAATGTGCTTTTAAAAGACTTGATATTTTTAGCATTCAATAACTCTTATGTTTTTGCAGAATTAAGCTTCAAAATCAAGTTCAGTTATTAGAAAATAACTAAAGTAATAAATCTTTACAAAATATTTAACAGTTACAAAATGGGTTAGTAACAAAAAAGGATATATATACAATTGTATATGATTATAGATAAGAATGAAATTATTTTAGGCTTTAAAACCTGAAATTAAAAATTGAAGACAAAATTATTTTAACTTACTTTTACTTGAAAGATGAAATTTTTTAATACTTTTTTTAAATATACTGTTATATTAGTGGTATATTAGTATTTTTAAATTTTTATTAAGTAACTCCGTGTAACTTCTAATTGTAGTACAAATC